TTTCCTATTTTCTTGGTTGTTTTTTGCGACGACCTATTTTCTTGTGTATCAGTCAGATAAGGTGATTTTTGATTTTTTTACATTTTTTATTTCGCAATGCCAAAATAGATTTCTTAAAATCTTCATTTCACTTCAATTGAATTCATGTTTTTTTTTCAAAAGATATAGATATACACCTAATAACCATTTTACGGATAATATAATTTTTTATGTCACACCTTTATTTATTTCTGAAATACACTTCAATTAAGTTTTTTAAAGTGTTTCTTTTTAGAAAATCGATCTGGTTCTTCTTATTTTGTCCCTGTAGTTTCCAATATTCTTTTTTTTAAATTCTCATTTTTCCAATTTTTATCAACATCTCTAACCCTAGTATTCGACATTTCTCTCTTCTTCACTACTTCTTCCATCTTTCCCTCTTCTCCTTATCGCACCGGCCATACATAACCGGCCAATACCACACTCCCTCCCGTAGCACGGATGGCCGAGTGGTCTAAGGCGCCAGACTCAAGCGTGTTCGCTTACCTCAAGTACGAGGTCGACTGGGTGTTCTGGTACTCGTATGGGTGCGTGGGTTCGAATCCCACTTCGTGCAGATCTTTTTTCATTTATGGGCTCTTAAGTTTTTTAAAATAATTTTTTTTCTGGAACTTAATTTAGCTGATGCCTTTAAAATCGAAGCCTCATTTAGAAAAAAAATTGTGTCTTTTTTGTAAAGTACGAAGAAAAATGCATTTTTGCTTTTTTTTTCTCTCATACAATTTTTTTAAAATGAATAAATTCCACCTCATCAGCCCTTACAGCAAAAATCATCTTATTGTTACCGCAAAACCAAACCTCGACTCCCATAAAACATCCATCAATCAGTCAATCAATTTCATTAGTCTTTTTACATTAGGTCCCATTTCATTTGCCCCCTGTTTTTAAAATCACCCATCCTAGTCGCTGCCCGCTGTGACTCATTTCTTATTCAATCTTCACGCTTCACTGTCCCCAAATGAGCCATAACCACTTTTTGCAACTGTCTGTCATGAATATTCAGTTTGTTATGCTTGGTTACACCGATGAATACTGATTTTTCAGGCGTTAGGAGACAACAGCACGTTTTGGGTGCCATCTGTGGTGCCGGTGATTAGCTGCTGACAAATGAAGGCAAGTATTTTATTATGAGAGAGAGGACATAATTCGTTCAGTAGGAGACAACAAAGCATTTGGAATTTTATGGGATTTTCTAAAAATTCTATCATTGAGAGTCAGGAACAAAAATGTTTCACAACTTTGAATATTCAAAAATATGCGAAATGGTGAATATCAAAACATTTTGAATTTCATTCAGGATATGCACCGTGAACGCTCTGATTGAAGGCCACTCTAAAATTGCTTTTTGAGAGCAATTATTTCAATTTCTATTAAGGTATCAAAAATGTGTCAAGAAATAATAAATTTGTCATAATATTTCCAACATTTTGTTTGTTAACACATTTTTGATATCTCTAACAGAAATTGAGATAATTGCGCTCGAAATACAAACTTAGCGTAGTATTCTATTAAAGCGTTCATGTGATATCAGTATGGATATCAACAAAAGTTTCTAACAGAGTAAGAAATCAGGTCCCTTACCGTACTTAAAGTGTTCAAGAGCAACCTTTTTTTGAAAATTAATAAATAATTTTGGGAAAATTCAGATCAGATTCAGAGTTCAATTAAAAACCCGAGAAATTTTCATTCTATTTAATATTTTAAACCAGTTTCACCGCTGCCTCTAAAAATATATTTTTCAATTAAATTGAAAAACCGTATTCTTTCTAATGTTCTTTGCATGTCCTTTCAGCTCAATTCTCTCGAGCGTTTAAAAAATGTGAAAATTTATCGAATATTGTCAATATTAGGATGAAGATGTTATCAATTAGCCGATTCTTAATACATTTTGGACGAACCAAGATATTCTAGCTCAAATTGCACGTACAGAATATTGAAGTGCAGTGGAAATGCGATTTTTTTAATACAAAAATCATCTCCCAACTATTTTCGGAATAAAAAAGGCATGTTCGGCGTATGCAAAGCAGGTTAAATCAACTCACAAGGGACCCATGCTTCTCAAACTCTTTGCTCTTATCTCTCGCTCATCACCCACACTTTTACTCACTCGTTGCTGTCTCAGCTGACAAATAAAACATGAGGCCTGCCGAAATGTGTCTGACAAGAATCTTCTCCCCATCCCAACTCTTTCTTCTTTCTTCCGTCCTTCGTCTTCCACTCAGTCCATCTTCTTTCGTATTCTTATTCTCATCATTTATCTTCATTTGCCTCGCGCTCTTCTCATCGCCCTCTACGAAATCATTGCAATTGCTTTTTTCGAAATTTTATCATTGTGGGAGAATTGATATAGTTTTTTCCGACTGGTATCGAAGTTTTCACAAGTATCATTGGTCAATAGATTTGTTGAGAGTTTCAGAAATTTCAATAAAAGTAACTAATGTAATCTGTATTTTTCCAAATGTGTCCTGTTAAAACACTGCTGATATTATGATGAACAATTCATTAGTTGACAACTTTCTAATATCTTTGACAGCAACCGAGCAAAATTGGGCAAAATTAAAAGTTAAGAGGGGCATTCATGCCGAATATTTCAAAAATTAGTTGAATTACCGTGAAACCTGTAATAGAAGAAGCCTATAATGTTTAACTTTGAGCCGATTTCGCTCAATTCATGTCAAAGATATGTAAAAGTTGTCAACTGATAAATTGTTCATTATAATATCAAAAGTGTTTTATCAATCAGCTCGTTGTTGATATCTCGTATAGGAATTGATATAATTGAATCCAACTTAACAGAGTAGGGACCCTTCTATTACAGATTTTTGGATTATGATTTTTTCGGAATATCTGAAAAGCTCCTATTAACAAAACTTGCTGAAACGTGAAAAATACATTTTCTAATTTCCAGAGGTCTAAGAATTTTCGCAAGTATTTATTTGTAAAACTTGACATCCTACTTCCCAACTAGCTAGTCCCAACTACTCATCACTAAACCATGGAATTTGAATGAAAGCGACTATTTCAAATTACAACTCCTCCTCATCAAAAATTCATTCATACTGACCAAAACAAGATTTTAATCATTCATCTCATATGATCCTACTGAAAAAGCCTCATCATCTATTCACACCGACTATTATTGACTCTGCGATGACAGATGAAAAGATAGATACAACGTTGTTTTGTCCGCGTCCCATTTTCCATTTCGTTCTCTTTTATTTCTTTTTCTCACTTTTACTCTCCCCGGGGGTCCCGATATACATTTCTTGTCGCAAATTTTGAATTCAGCTGTGCTGTGCTGGTCCGTCCGTATTGAATTTCCTCCCATTTTCCCTCTTCTCTATCCCTCCATGTCTCTCACATGATTCCCGTGATATTCGAAAAAGTTCCCCGAACAAAAAGGAGCGGGAGCATACATACTCTGTATTCAAAACTTTTCAAGAAAATCATGCATTTTGTCTTCTTTTCCTCCTATCTCTCTGCCTGTCAGATACCTCATCCATTCTTCATCTGGTGCCTTCAATTTGTTCGTCTTCTTGTTTCTTTGGCAAACATTTTTTCGACAACCACTGAAAAATTGTGGTCGTGTCTTTTCTTCAGCCGCCGTGCCGACATTATTTTTCTCTCTCTCTCTCTCTCTAGCAAGTTTTTTGTCTTTTTGCTCCATGTTACAACTCATAAATCATTCATCAGCTTTTCTTCTCGTTTTTCCGCTTTTTGTGCATAAATATGCAATTGGTTTGTGTCAGATTTTCGTGTCTTGTTTAATATTGATAGGTTTTTTCTGAAATTTGGAAAGAAAAGGTATATTATTTCTTTCAGCTCTCTTAAACCGATCGTTTTTTAGAAACACAGTACCGCTCAATAAGATACACTGAAACATATTTTTCAGGTTTGTTTTCAGTGATTTTGACCATTTTCAAAAGCCTGAAGCCCCAATGTCAAGTTTTTGATTAATTTAAAAATTTTAAAGGGTGTAAAACAGACCTAAATTTGAAACTTCGCATTGACAGAATTTTTTGGTAATTCCTAGTTTTATTTATATTGCCATTTTGCGGAAGACCCGGCTTGTTCACGTTTTCAATGCAAAAACAGGCCAAAAAGGGCATTTTCCAGAAATTTGCAAATTACTGAAAACTAAGCATTTCGTTTAAGTTTTGCATCCGCCAAAATTTTCAAAGTAGTCGGAAACTTGACGTCCGAGCACCAGACTCCTGAAAATGAGCAAAATAGACTAAATAAAAAATAGACTAAACAAAATAGACTTACATCTTATCGACGGTAATGAATATTTTTCGACTAGAATTTTTTAGAGACATCACGGAAATTCATATACTGTAATTTTTTGAATCATGGTCATAGGAAGTTTTAGTGGGCTTAAAGATTTTTTGACTTTTCCAATGAAATCCATTCGACTAAAAAACAGTTTTGATTAGGTCTAGCATTTTTTAAAATTTTTTGTTGTTTGTTTTTATGATAATTTTCAAACATATTTTCTATTGATGTATTATTCAGAAACATTAATTACATAAACATTAATTAATTACTGATATTTGAAATCCTGACGATACCTTAATCATCTTCCTTCTCTTTTCAGCTTTGGCTCTCGGGTTTTAAATCTAGGCTATACAATCTTGAACCCAATAAGATTGACCTTATCTTCTTTCTTTCTATCATTATTCCCGAGTACAAAATTGTGTAGCACTTATCCTGTCTACCCAGAAGGTCGTTTTCATATTTCAAAGCACTTCCTACGACTATACCCCATCCAGAACCAGAAGCTCTTGGAAGGAAGTGTCTGGGTAATTATTGGAAAATTGCTTGTTTTCCTGGAACTCCATCTGGCCCAATTGTTTGTGCGACGACTGACTTTCTGAGCGATCTGGAAAAACAAGCCGAGTTTTTTGTACAGTGAAATAATTGAGAGTCAAGACGAGTGTTCCAATTTTTCCAGTTTTTGAATGCGGCGGCTGAATTTGAGAATTCAGAAGATGATAAGATCAAAAATCGATAGTGCGGTTCGTAGACACAAAGCTAAAGTCCAGCCGACTTCATTTCATTATCTCTCTCTCTCTCCCTTTTTTTTCTCATTTTCTCTCTTTCTCTCACTTTACTCATAAAATTTCTCTTTTTAACTTTTTTTTGCCACCTCATTCCTTTTCATTTTCAACGCTATTTAGTAGGCTATTATAGGTCAGTGAGCAAGCAGTTTTAAAAACGGGTGTTTATGCTTAGTCTCCGGGAAGAAGACGAGAGGGAGAGGAAGAAGGCCCGGAGAACCTTCTCGTCACACATACATACATGCTCTCACACTCTTTTCTTCTTCTTTTACTTGCTTTTCTTCATTCTCTACAATTCAGAATGACCCGCCCCCCCCCCTTTGAAGTCTGCTTCTTCTTCCTTACTACCACTCATTCGTTTTACTCATTTTGAAAATATTTAATGAGGTTTTAAACTTCTCCTTTGAAACTAGTAGAGTGTCTTTGGAGTAGTATGTTAATTTCGTAAAACTTGCGTGTCATTGCTTAGTTAGTGAGATAATGTTTCTGTCTCAAAATCTACAGTACCGGTCAACAAGATATTCAAAAACTCGTTTTTTAGTTGTTTTGACCAATTTCAGGAGCTCAGAGCTTGGCTGTCAAGTGTCTGATCACTTTGAATATTTTGGAGGGTGTAAAACAAACCTCAATTAAAGATTTTGCAATCAAATTATTTTCGGAAAGTTCCTATCTTCAGCTATTTGCCGTTATTCGAAAGATACCTGTTTTTTTAACGTTTTCAGAACAAAAACGGGTCGAAAAGAGGGTCTTCCAGGAATCTGCAAATTGCTGAACAACTAGGAATTTTTTTAAAATTCTGCGAATTCAAAGTTTCGAATCTTGGTCTGTTTTGCACCCTTCACAACTTTCAAAGTGATGAAAGCCGAGCTCCATACTTCTGAAAATGGTCAAAATAACCAAAAATCAACTGACAAACCACGTTCTGTATATTTTATTGACCGGTATTGCAAGTTAAAACAACCTTTCATTACTTTTTTTCAAAATTATTTTTTGTTGATTTTTAAAAATAAATTTTTAAAATCGAATTATTTTTAAAAAAGTTACTCGAAAAAACCAGAGAAATTTTTTTAAAAACCACAAAATCCTTCGAAAACTAATTAAATTGAATCCGCAAACATATAAACCCACCCCAACGGAACGATCAAATTCTTGTTCTCCTCTTATTGGGATTAGATTGAGCTCCTACTGCTTTCTCGGAGCCCTTCCCTTCCCCTCCTTCTTTTCATCCTCGCCCCAACTATTCATCTCCCTTGGGTATTTTCACTGCCGCCTAATAAATATTGACTCGAGCCATTCCACCCCGTTTCCAACCAACACTGCTTTCGTTTTGTTTTCTTGTCAACTTTTTGTGGCTTTCCACCTGTGTACATGTGAAACTATTTGATTTTTTCAGAGTTACAATATTCCTCGACGAAGTTGGCTGATCTCCATCACCTACCTGTTGATCAGCTCAACAGCGTGGGTGGTTCAGGCTGGAAACCGACAGGAGTATCAATATAGAGATGTAAGTTTTTTTTAAATAAAAATGAGCAATCAACTGTTGACCACCAATACTCGGATATTGGAATTCTGAGTTTTAGAATCATTGATTTCGGAATTTTAAAATATGAATAGTTATCATTTGAAAAATCCGGAAAATCTGTGATACGTGATGCAATTTCAGAACTCAAATGCATTCAGATGAAATACCGGCCAATGAGATATACAAAAAATAGTTTTCAATTGATTTTTGGCCGTTTCGGCCATTTCAGACGTCTGGATCTAGATGGGCAAATTTCAAATCACTTTGAAGCTTTTGGAGGGAGAAAGATGGACCAAAAGTGAAAAAATTGCGTTTACAGAATTTTTTGAAAATCAATAATTTTCAGCTATTAGCCGATTTTTGAAAATCACTCTTCTTTAGCCAGTTCTGCACTGAAACCGTGAAAAAAGGTGTCTTTCAGGAACTGGCAAAAAGCTGAAAAACTGAGAACATCCTAAAAATTATGTGAATGCAAAGTTCTCCATCTAGATCTGTTTTACACCCTCCAAAATTTTCAATACGATTGAAAACTTGACAGCCAAGCTACAGACTCCGGAATATGGTCAAAATGACTAAAAATCAACCTAAAAACGATGTTGCACATCTTATTGACCGGGGACTGTAGCTTGAAAGGTGCCAATACGTTTTGTATTAGTTTATTACATACATGTTCTTTTTCAAATAATTCAGGAACAACCATTTGCATTCAATTTCAATTTCAAAATTTTCAACATATGTCGTATATGTTACTAATAAACCCCTTCTTCAGGAAGCTATTGAGAACAAACTAATTTGCGCTGGTAAATTAGCCGACTATGCCGCTTGTCAATGTGATCCATCCGCCGGCGACTACTCGTGCATCAATGCTCAATTTGTGGACGCAAATGTCTTTTTGGATATTTCCACTAATTATAAGTGAGTTTCCTAAATTCATTATACTACGAATTTTGGCTTTTCAGATACATCAAAAGTGTGACATTCCATGGAAACAATTTTCAAGATCTTACGTCTACTCCATTATTTGGTTCGGATTCTCAAAACAGTCTTATCAAGCTAAACCTTTCTGCTAATTACATTGGTAAGCGGATGCCGTTCGGTCAAAACAAGGGATTGAAAAGCTCTTTCCCTTGCTCGCCACCCCATCAATTATTTCCTCCTGCTAAAACCTAAGAGAGATTGAGTCGCCCCTCATTATGGTTGTTTACTTGCAACGGACCAGTGTAGTCTATTAAGTAGGAATCTAGTTGTAGGAAGAGGAAATAGAGAAAAGCAGAGTGGGAAAAATGAGTTTATATTCTTTCTTTCAGTAAACTTGAATAGCAATGCATTACGGAATATGCCGAATCTTCAAGTTTTGGATATTTCAAACAACGAAATTGTATTCAGACCAAGGGACGTCGATTTTTTGACGCATACACCACATTTGACGCAGGTGAGAATTTTTATAGATAAGATTTGAGCACCTGTACGATACCAGGAAACGATAAAAGTTAAAAAGAGACTTTAGTTCTGAAAATATATAATTATATCCAGTTTTTCCCAAAACTGATGTTCAAGGGTACCTTTAAAAACGAATTCAAAGGTACAAAAGTGAACAACCATATTTTTGAGCTTATTTTGAATTTAATTCGCCTATTTTCCAAATTTTTTGACTTTCAATTTTTCGAATTAATACATTTTATAAAAATGAATCTGTATTTTTGTATTTTGCAGTTTTCAGGTCCTCGTAATTTTGAGTTGAAATTTTTTATATTTTCAAAATTTTTTATCAGTGGCCGGAACATAGCATTCTAGAACCATACGCTTGGAAATTTAGATTTTGAATTCAGTAATTTAGGAATTTAGATTTTGAATTTTTGAATTTATAAATTTAGATTTTGAATTGGGAAATACAGAAATTTAGATTTGGAATCTTTGAATTTAGAAATTTAGATTTTGAATATTCAAATTCAGAATTTTAGATTTAGAATTTAGAAATCTAGAAATATAGATTTTTAATTTTTAAAATTTCAAGATTTCCAATTAAAACATTTTGAAGTTCCTATCGGCTTTTTGGTAATTTTTTTCAAAGTTAGTTTGGATTTTTTCAAGTTTTGAGCATTTCTTATTGCACATTGAACGATTAAACCACCTTAAGGTTTTTTAAACTTTTTAATTAAAAAAAATTGAATATTATTTTTTTATGGCATTCAATAAATTTTCAACTAATTTTCAGCTCTACATGCGTCGTGCCTTTACTGTCACCATGAACCGTACTCAACAGTTTGACCTTATGCTAGAAATGTTCCGACAAGCCAAACTCGAGTACCTCCAGGTGAGAGATCCCTCATATTCAATATTTTCATACAACTGATGTTTCAAACTTGTTCCTAACTTGTTTTCAAGTTTTTTATAACCGTTGTGTTTTAGATTTGGAACAAAAATCGTTTTGTTCAAAATCGGCCAAGAAAAAAATTCGTCATTTCATTCATAAAGCGGGGCGATTATTATTTTTTTTGTGGTATGATCAGAATCCCTCGATCCGATTTGCGCTACATTTTACAACTGCGCGTGGGTGTGTGTATACGGTCAAAACTAGGTCCTATTTTTTATGATTTGTAAAGTTTCGTACACGATGTTGACTAGAGTCAAAGATTGTTATGTAGCCCGACCCCTATGTTCGTCTCCATTGAAACATGTTTTCTCGAAATATTGAATGTCGAAGTGTTGCCTGAAACTTCCGATCAAACACGAGAAGACACAAAGTAGCGTTTTAGCGTTTTTATCACATCGGAAGTGAATGTCGAAAACGAAAAGCAGCAGAAAAACCGCTGGTCTTTTCTAGGATTATGATGCTATTCCCTCTCCTAGAGAAGCAACAGCAGAAAAAATTCTTCCCCGTATATTGCAAGGTCTTATGATTGCAAACAGACAGTGTGCTAGAATATATGCCAATGACATCACTTTTAATATACACGTGGTGGTGGAAAAGAACGGCTGCCAGACAGATAGGAACAGATAAAGGAGATGGTTCAAGAGATCAGACGAACCATTGTCCCAGTGATGCAACTGTTTTGAAACTACCCCGACGGGACGATAAGATTGGGTGCGAGAGTTTCTTGTTGCGCAAAAAGGGTCGAAAAACATCTGAGATGAGTTGTGCGAATGACGTGTCATCATTATTAGACAGATTGTTGATGTAGGTGACAGATAGAGGGCTGGTTGGGTTCATGTTGCATAATCCAGGTCCAGAATGTTCCTCTGCTGATAGCATCGTGAAGAAACTTTGAACTTTTCTGGGATTTTTTCAGGTCCTTGACTTATCCTACAACTTCATCCATAACGTTCCATTCGAGATCGGCTGCCCATTCCCGGCACTCCAAACTCTGGATCTCCGTCAGAATTTCTTGAAGAATTTTATCGTCAACGAAACTTGTATCAAGGATGTGAAAACGATCAATCTTAGCAGGTTGGTGTTGTTTTTTTGGTTCTTGAAGAGCACAGTGCACTCAAGTAAATTGAGTTTGCAGTAATTGAAATTAGGTTCGGAATTGAGGATGCAATTTCATTTCCTTTTTTTCGCGTTTTGTTGGAACAATTCAATTTAGAAGAGTGGAGAATGGAAAAAAACAAGAAAAAAGATCTGAAGGGTTGAGAAAGTTTGAAAGAAAAATCGGAAAATCCAAAATTTTTTTGAAATAACTTAAAATGGCAAATAGTGGTTTGAAAATAGCCTTATATGGTTGCGTCGTATATATTGTAGCATCGTTTACATATGGTAGCATCGTTTACATATGGTAGCATCGTAGAATAGCCTGAAATAACCTGAAATTGTAAAAAATGATCTGAAGATTGGCGGAGAAGACCCGAAAAAGTCAAAAATCGACTTTAAAATCCCAAAAATTATACAAAACGATTACAAATCCTCCAATGTCTATAATAACTCCAAATTACAGTAAAAAACACAAAAGCGTTCTAAAATTGTTTGAAAATGATCCGAAATCGGCCAAATGTGTCTGAATTGGGTCAAAAAATAGTCCAATAATTTCCTGAAAATCGGTCTAAACTGGGTTTAAAATAGTCAAAATGGGTCTTCGCATAACTCCAAAATGTCCTGAGTTATTCCTGATTTTGTTCTCAAAATTTCAAATTTCAACTGCAAAATTGAAATTTCGGTCCCACACATCTCCTAACAGTTTGAACTTCGAGCCAATTTATATCGCTTCCCGCGAGAGATATCAAAAATGTGTCAACTGACAAAACAAGCTTGATATTATGATTAAGATTTCTAAGTTCATCACATTTTGATACCTTTCACAGGAAAGGAGATATAGGGGTTCAAATTGGACAGTGTCGAATCTATTACGGTATTTCTGTTTCACATACAACCTTAATACAAATGGAACAATAAAAAACCAAAAATCCAAATTTCACAAACTAATTCAGAAATCAATTCTACGTGATCCCTGACGATTTCCGTGCCCTTGCTAACAAAGCTCAACCCGAAACGTTTTTGCTCCGGAATCAATTTTACTGCGATTGCAACTCCAAAGATTTCATAACTTGGCTACGTTCGACCAAATCGGTAAGTATTATTTGAAGGTACACTGTACCTTCGCTGAGCCCCATGAACTTTTTTTTGTCATTTTTTAAACCTTCTGATCGATCATTGAAACGAGTTTGGACCGCACTTTGAGAATTTCGTGCTCATTTATTGCTCCTTTTTTGTCCAAACATCTAACTACAACTGTATTGCACTGGGTCTAAGTTGTATCGAACATGTTTACCTTCGAAAACCTTACCCAAAAACCCTTTTTTGTCCCTACACGTGACAGACACAATGCGCGGCCCCCGCAGAAATGAAAAGTGGAAGTACTTTTTCCATATATGTACAACAAAAACTTGTATTCGTGGGCGGTTGGTGCGGTTCTCTTGATCCTCTAGACTTAATAAAAATGTTGCAAAAAAGTTGCTCCCTCAAACTGTGTGTACATGGCTCTCGATGGCTCGCTCTTATCGAAAACCTCTTAAAAGTGTCTCGTCCAAAATTTAGAAACAAAAATTTTATGAAATGATTCTAAATATTGGAGTATCAATCAGACCATGTTTACATAGTGTTGAATGTTTGATTCCAGGATTAATTTTGTTTCAGGTACGCGAAAAGAACAGTCTAGTATGCGACCGAGCAAGTCCCAAGATGTATATTGGAGCACGGATCGCAGAAGTGCCATTGAACAAGCTGACCTGCGATGAGCCTCTATTTACAAGCCACGCCTACTCAAATTTTGCAAATTTCCTGATCCTAGCTTTTTGTCTGGTTCAGATCTTTTAAAATTTCTAAAACTTTCGCCACAAATGCTCTTTTTCCTTTTTTTTTTTTTAACTTTTTTCTCGTGTTCCAGCGCCACTGACCGGTCTTTCTGATTTGTTCTTCCTCTCTTCTCTTGCTTCCCTATTTGCCAAAATTCTTCAAAATTATGAATACAACAATTTTTGTTTTTGAAAAAATATTTTCATATATCTTATGCTTTGACAAATAAATGATAGAAATCTTATATAAAGCTTGGGAGGGGAAACAAAAAACAAATTGTGGTGGTATCTTGGGATCAATTTTGAGAGCAAAAATACAGATAAGAAGACAAAATAATGGGAAATCAAATTACCAGTAAAGAATCCTTCAAAAGAAGGAACGAAATGTGGAGTGTGGGGTGGAGATTGCTAGCTGGATTTTTCAAAAAATACAATTATAGCGTAACACAGAGAATTGAGATACATGATAAATGTTATTGAAGATTGAGGACTAGTAAATGGAAGGTAGGACTATCACAATTTTTGAGAGTGTTGTTGGAAGAAATAAATAAAAATTATTGCTTTTTTTTTCTTCATTAAATCTAAACCTAAGTTTTCAAAAAATGAAAACAAAATAGAAAAATAACATGATATTGTCAATTTTTTAACTTTTAACCGTTTTTGAGTATCAGAGTTTTTTTAGGATTTATCAGGGTCCCCTGGCTAACTGATAATTGAACTTTTAAGTGAATGAGGTGTGACGATCATTTTGGAGAATGTGAGACAAAATGTGAATAGATGATCTGATAGAAATCTGGAAGTTTGGGAAAAATAGGAAGATAGACAGAAAAATATAGATTGAATCAGGAGTTAGACTCCACGAATGGATGGATCAACAAGGGCTTTGACTGCAATTCCAATGTCAGTGAACACGCGGCATTGACGACGTTTGGCCATATCCTGTAAATTGAAATATTGATTGAATGATCCTGGTCCCTTCTCAAGATGATTTTCTCCTCAGGTTGGTCTCTTAGATTCCGAGCGGCCCGCCCTATGATGTCATGAGTGTTGTTTTGCCAAAAAATATATGGGCGATCGCCACCGACACTCTCGGAGCATTTTTCTTCTTTTATTCTCTCCCAGGAGGAGAGGGAATATTGTGTAACCTGATCTTAAAACAAACTCTTCTTCTTCTTTCAGAGAATGAGGAGAATCAGGCAAGATCGAATTTTTGCTATCCCCCCTATTCGAAAAATAGTCGAAGAAATGAGCGGGCTGATGTATTCAACACGTCATCACCCTCCTCTACTACTATGTACCTATCTTTAGAAATAGACGAAGCTATTTTCAACTCTACTCCACGAGAAGGAGATTATCAAGCAGGAGGCTAACATCATGTAATCCCCTACTCGGAAATGCGCATCTTTTAGCAAATGTTTCTTTTTTGGAATCGTTTTAAAAATGATGATATGTACCTTCAAATAGCAGAATGCAATCTGGTAGCAATCGTTTCGACGACGACGTGCAGCTCTCGCGTGATCCTTTTCATCTTCCACCATGTCATCTGGACCTTCGAGGATTTGAGAAGTCGCTGGGACACAGACGGTTCCTTCCCAGTTGGTATGACCGAGAATGTAGGCGATCTGGAATTAGAATTTGAAAATTCCAAAAATTGGTTCAACGAGTGTGACATAATGAAGTGATAAACTTGAGAATATTCGAAAAAAACGTGTTTTTCAGTTGATTTTTACCATTTTTAAAAGTGTGGAGCTCGGCTATCAAGTGTCTGATCATTTTGAAAATTTGGGAGGATGTAAAACAGACCTAGGTTAAAAATGCTGCAATCACAGAATATTTTATATTTGCCAATTTGAAAAAAAACCCTTCTTGTACAGAAATTTCGAAAAAAAACAGAAATTCTGTGAATTCGAGAAATTCTGTGAATGCAAAGTTTTCAATTTAGATCTGTTTTACACTTCCAAAGGTTTCAAAGGAATTGGACACTTGATAGCTGTGCTCGAGACCGTTGAAAATGGTCAAAATGGCCGAAAATCAACTGAAAAATACGTTTTTGTGTATCTTATTGATTTATACTGTATATGTTTAGGTATCAATTTAAATGCATTTCCAATTTGAATGATTCTATTTCAAAAATTTCCAATAAACAATTGCAACAATTGTTGTCATTTCTCTACCGCGCTCTCTCTTTCTCTCAAAAGCACCAACTATAAAAAATGAAAACGGGAAGAAACCGAACAGCTGACATAGTTGCTTATGATCGACGCTTTTGATCTTTTAGCAATCACTCTCGCTATTCAAAATTACGTCAGAAATACATATTTAGGATTTTTACGACTCTACTCGATAACGCCAGTTCTCATTGTTTCATGTTGGCAGCACATACACACACGCGCAGGTAGAAACGTAACATGCAGTACTCAGTCTAAAATACGGTCTCTTTTGAACCGCTGGAAGACACCAACACTCACCTCGACCATTCCTGAGAGGAAGGTGGTTGTTGATGGAATGTAGTAGAAGAATTTCTTGTGGTGATGGAACCAAGTACGGAGGCAGTTCATGCGATTGTCCAGCTGGAAGTTTGGGGTGGCCAAGACATACGAGTATGGTGTGCCTTTTCCGCTAAAAAAATATATATAAGGTTATCTCTAATTTTTTGATGGCAACTCACTCTAACGCCGGAGCAGCCAACTCTTGAACCCAGCTGTTATCATCTGGTGAGCTCGAGCAAAGTTCGACAACTGAGCAGTCGATGTTGACCTTGGTCTCTCTGAACAGATAGCTTACTACTATATGAAGACTCAGCTTCGACTTACTGCTTCGGCAAGAAAGAGCTTGGAACAATGAAACTGGATGCTCCCTCATCTGGGAAGTACTGCTCAAAATTTTGCTTTGATCGCCTGCGAACAACAGTTTTAGAGCTGATGGATCCATTAACGTTGGTAGCTTTCATGGTGACTCTTGGAGATGGAATAGCTGGAGTTGCATGGTACATGACTGCCGAAGAATCGGCAATCATTCTCGGGTACCTTTTGCGAAGGGATTGTACTTTGTGAACGACTCCGAAGAATACCACGTTGAGCATCAGAAGTGGGATGAGGATGAAGAAGAGTGGAAGAGCAGGGAAAGCAAAAGAGATGCCAATAAGGACAGCGGTGTCGATGAGTCCGGTGACAAAAGTTTTTGTGGCATAGGTTTTGCACACCTTCAGGGTTTGTGAAGTGAGCCCCTTGATATTTCGAATCGCTCGACGAGCTCGGATCTGGATGTAGGGCAATCGGTTGGTCTTCGATTTCATGGCTTCGAATAAACTTTGACGTCCCAACATCTCCTCCTCAATAAACTCCAAGGCATCAGGGATAGTGTGAAGCATCGGAACTTGATGGCTTTCCAGAATCTTGTCGAGAAGTTGACATGTTCGGTTCCTATCCGGCAGATCGTCAGGGTGTGCTTTCTCGGCCCATTCAGTTTTTCCTAGGAAGACAACAACGAGTTTTGGGGATTTTCTGGCGGCGAAGTAGGCGATTTCTAAAAAGCTGGTGGCGTTCACAGTGGCAGGGTCGATGACAAATAGGAATAGTGATGAGCTCTGGAAATCGGATTTTGTTCTATATCATTTTCTAGTGGATGAAAAATAACTACAACATGACAACATGACAACATGACAAGATGACATATGACATATCTACAAACCAACCTCTTTCGCAATTGACTCCTCGTAGATCATATTTTCACTCCAGAAGCTTCTTTGTGGATCGTAGTAGGTAATCCCTCTCTTCTTGAGGAATGGAATAACCGATTGTCGACGCCACACCGTAGTACCGCATGAGCCTCCGAGGAATACATCATAGGTTTCCCTCGAGCTAGTTGGGGTATCCTCCTTGAGTCCAGTTGGCTTAGGTGGCTTGCAGACACAGTTACCGGCCACTTGGCACTCCGAACCATTCTTACAGCACAATGGGGACACTTTCGACGCCTTCTTGATGTCAATTGGCGATTTGGGACTTTTTCTTCCACTTTTCTCCGTTGTTTCTTCACTGAAAAAAACTTCAAATTAGACACTGAGATCCCCAAAATTAGGTTGTTTTTGGCGTTCACTCTAACCTGACACTAATTTCTCTCGGCGCTGAACATCTAGTCATAATTCTCTGTTTCACGAATAAGGCACTTTCAGTTTTGATGGTGTAGGTGGTGGATCTTAAACGAAGAGTCATGATGGAAGAGTGGTGAATGAATATCACGAATGAATATAAAATAAATGTAGCTGGAGTAGAAGAAGGTGTCGAAAAAAGGGAAAAGAAGAGATGACGATGATGATGATGATGTTGATGAAGATGAGGTGGAAACGAGGGTAACGTGAGAAAATGTGTATTCATGAAAGTAAGAGAAAACTAAAAGTCGCGAAGAAAAAAAATGCAGATCGGGAATTTAGTTTCTAATCGAATCACAGGGTGGAGGGATAAAAACTAACGTGATAGAAGGTGTTGATTTTTCCTTCAGAACTGAATATGATGAGATTTTACGCTTCATGAAGCATTCGGAACCGCCCAATTAATTAGGATTAACAATCCTTGTGATTTGTCTTCGATTGTAGTTTGGAAATGTCCGAAATTGGATGGGGAATAAAAAGAACCGAATCAAAACTAAACGCCAAAAATGGTTTGTGGGGTTGTAGATTGTTAAGCTCTGAATGTTGAAGAGTGACCAGAACATAATTTCAGACTGTTTAAATACTCTTACTGATCTTCCGATCCGTTTCTGTTCTATCTGCCTCATGGAAAAAAAAAGAGAAGAGAGCAATGCACCCAGGTAAACGATGGGCCCCGCCCACTGCCCGAGAGGTGGAGACTATCGTCCAGGGAGGTGGGAAAATAACTGGGGGAGACGGACAGAAAAGAACAAAGAAAAACGATGAGGGTATTGTTTATAGAAGGCGGAGCTTGTTTTAATAGGTTTCCATACTAAATCATTGGGACCGACTGCTACTTGTCGATCGGTATGATGATTTTTGTTCGAGATCATTGATTTTTACGCTCGCTTATCGGCTGGTGATCCTTTTTAAGCCGAAAGAATGAAGCGTGCGGGGGAGAAATCGGGGGCCCGTTTTTATTGATTTCCATACATTTTTATTGGTCGCTTTTATGCACCGATCAAAACCTGACTGGCCCTAATCTAGATCTGGAGATTACGTTGTAGACGGATGAGAAAGAAAAAGTTGATCGGCGAAGAACAGAGGATGATGGTAAAACAAATGGTTGGAACAAAGTCTAACGATGAGAAAATCAAATAAATTGTTTTTTGAGAATTTGAATTAAATGATAAGAAAATCCAGTGAGCTGTCTGGGCAGATCAAAATCATATGATTCGAAAAAAAAAATGGATCATTGCAATAAGCCGTTTACTATGTTATTCAAGTCAAGTTTCGAAAAATCCAAGAGGAACTGAAAGAAGATATAGATTAAAATTCTACTCAAGTCCAAAGGAGGATTAATGACGTTTTTTGAGAAATAGAATATGGAATAAAAATTTTTTTCTGATTGAAATTTGTATGTGTGCGTGCTCTCGTCATTCTATTTTTTGAGGGTTTTTATTTTGATGAGTGTACAAAATGATGAATTAGCTACACAGAAGGGTTAGAATAGAAAATGAGGAATTTTGGATTTTACCGAAAGATGAGGGTTTTTTTGACTGGTAGTGGACACAACGTCATTTCTTTCTGGAAAGGTATCATTATTTGCATTGTATGTCATTAGACTTGAATCTTTGAACGAGACCGTGTATTACTCAACGTTACAATCTGCCAACAATTGCGTAGACGTTTTTTGAACGTCTATCTTTATCAGGAAATGTGCTCAGACGGTTCTGGAACTTTTTCAAAATGTTGCCAGCAAATTTTGATATTTCCTTCCAGCAATCGGTTTTGTTATTCAAATGATGTGGGGGCATATTGTCGCTTATCAGTTTTCTTTTTGGTTTTTCCCGAAAATTCTCACCTCCTTATCAGAATTACTGTTGCTTTTTTCGAGGAGCTAGGAGAAAAAGTGAGAGTGAACAAGAATGTCGAATTCTCACATTTTGCATTTAATGCAGAAAAATTATTACCAATTTTAGAGCTATAGAGTTACAAAGTATGTTACGATTTTATTAGAGGTGAAAGTCTAAATTGAAAAAATACTAGAGGGTACTGTCGTCGGCATCAGAAAAAGACGAAAAAAAAAGAAGAATGGGAGGACACAAACATGGTGAACATGATCACCTGCGTAGCAAAGGCAAAAAGCTTTAATGCAAATATAATTTGAGGATTTGATTTTGATTCAAATCGAATTTAAAGAAGGGGCTCGTGACTTAAATACCCCCAAATACTGATGCGAGGGGGCATCAGAGATTATCGTAAATAAAAATAAAAACAATAGGAATTCCAGAGATTGATTTCATGCTTCTATATATTGATATCAAAAATTTTTTGAGGATGGATTATTATGAACACGAGTGGAGGAACATAACGCAAAAATAACAACATCACGTCATTTTTTGTGCCGCTGTGTTCGGCTTCCCACGGCGACTACAGACGGCTCTAGTAGTAGCCGTTGGCCCTATTTATCATCAAAATCATAATCATCATTATATTACAGTCCCTTTTTTTGACAAACATTTCAAAATTCGCTATTCAAATATTGACTACATAAGAAAAGTAGAGGTAGAATTTGTTCGAGAAGTGATATGGAGAACCGAAAAAAAGGGGATCGCATCTGATCCACGAGTAACTTATAGAATGTTTATTTGCTTTTTGCAAACATTCTCCTCCACGAGATGAAAAGAAACTGTAGGGAAGTGACGGGTATTGGGGAATGTCGGGAGAATCAGAAAATGTGACGATTTTGTACTGTAGTAGCGTTCATTTCGTTTATGTATTTTGAAAGCTAATAAAGGATTTGTGATTCTGACGTCAAAGCAGAACTAAAACAACATCGGAGGAGATGGGAAAAGACGGTATACGTTGAACTCATTGTTCTTGTTTGAGTTTCACGAAACCAGACATCAATGAATGATCATTTAAAGAAGCAGTCAGTCAAGAAACTAAATATATATGCAGCCGGATTTGGTTTCAATGGGTTTTAACTTATTGCTCATCATTTTTTGTTTTCCTTGAGCACAAAACGAAGCACACAATTTTGTGAAGAGAGCTGTTTCGAGACAAAGAGATCAAACCGCCCTAAAAACCGCCCTAAAAAGGGTGTCTTTCAGAAATCGGCAAATATTTGAAAAACTAGGAACTTTCTGAAAATACTGTAGATGCAACACTTTCAATCCTAATTTTTATCACATTTTTCGAAGTTTTCTAAGTGATCGGAAGCTTTACGCTGAGCTTCAGACTTCTGAAAATCAAGAAAATGGCCGAAAATCAATTGAAAAATACATTTTCGTGAATCTCATTGACCAGTACTGTAACTGATATCAGAAAATTCTAGAACTTGACCACATTTCTGATTCCTCTGATCTCTTTCTCAAAATAGGAAGTCTAGCATCAAGGCATATAATTATTTAAAATGACGAAAGCCACTGATATGTATGTCAATACCACTAATGATAGCTTGCAATGATCATTTGGTTTAGGAAATGTAGTAAATAATCTATGAATTAGTTTATTTGCATTTCTAGAAGATTAGAGAAGGTGTTGATTGTAATAGATTAAGAATAGCTGACCAGAAGATTACGGAAGTTTCTAAGAATGTATCTAAATTGAGTCAGGGACCGACGTCTCCAACTTAACACCTGCAAGAGGGTTTCTGGAATGAAAAGAAAAAATGACTGATGTAGCTGTGAAAAAAAGCAAACACCGAGATTCTGCTGTGAGGGTGGAAATGAGAAGAAGGTGGCTGGATGGCTGGGTAAGTGGTGGAGAATCAGAGAAATTCTTCTAAATCCCCGCTCTCTCGGGCTACATTTTCTTCAATTTTAACACCAAACGCTGTTACGTATTTGGAGAATGACGAAGCAATTGAAGAAGAAGCAGGTGATGTCAAATTGAATGCCGTTGGATATATTATACATCGGAAGAACAGAATTTAGTGTTAGAGGCGCGTTTAATTTCCGGTAAATTGGCTCAAACTGATTCGATTTGAAGAGAAATAAAATTGTTTGGATTTTTTTCGGGGAAATGACAAATTGTTTGAAACATAATACATTTGGTATAAGGTTAAAACACATAGAGTGAATGTAATCTATGATAAGAAGGTGTCAGAATGAAAAAATCAGGAGATGAGAGTAGAAAGTGCTCCTTGACATTTTAGCACAAAAATTATCGTAGTTTTAAACCTTTTGGGGATTACTGTATTCACACATTCCTCTCAATTCCTTTGTTTTTCGAATCATTATTATTTAGAAAAAATTTTCAAGCTTTTGTATTATCCTTTTTTGAACCATAATAATCTGGAAAGAAGGAATATGATGTTCCAAAAAATTGAAAAAAACGTGTTCTTCTGAAATGAGGATCAGTGCAAAAGATTCTCCCGTCTGAGCTGCTGGTTTCGATTCAATTTAATTAATTTAAAATGAACTAAAAGGAGCACACACATTTCGACGCGACCCGTTGTAAAACACAAATGGAAGAAAAAACCGGGAGCACAGAAGATGCGCGCGGGAACTTAAGAAGATTAGAATCCTTTTGATGACGTTTTATTGTGAGTTGTTCGAAAGACTGAATTTTTGATGAGTTTTCAGGAAAACCCGGATAGGGTGAATTTAGAAATAACAAAGGAGTTTGATCACTTCCTTATTTTTGAGCAGGAAATTGAGTTTTTTCCGAGAATGGACAAGAATAAACATCTGAACTTTTCAAACGCCAAAGGTTATCATATCAGATGAATCAATAATCTTAACAACTCAAAAAGAATTATGAATTATGAATTATATCATCACCGCAATTAAACTAGAAACATTCAAGCCTCGATTAAAAATAGTGTCAGGTTATGAAAAAATGAATCTGGAAAATTTAGAAAACGTCAAAACCCACTTGTTAGTTGCACAGAGTTGAGACGTGAAGGAGACAATGTTCATATCGAGAATCTGGTTCTGCTCGCCGCCGTCATTGTCTGAAAATGAGAAAAACGTGTGGGTAAGAGTGAAAAGAAAGAAAAACATCAGGTGGACTGATAAGACCGCCCCATATAAAAAATGACAATTTTCTTTTCTTTCTGTCTCGCCACCTGGAAAA